AACTCAATTTTTTGCTTTTATTTGTCACAGAAATTGAGTTCTTTCTACATCTAGAGGATAGCATTTGAAACCTAACATTAAATCTTATCCATCATGCTGTTGTAAGAGCATTAGGGCTTATCTCTTTTAAAGCTACTGCCTTCTCCAATCCCACAACTGTTTTAATTTAAAAAAACTCACAGCAGAAGCAACATTCATTTTATCAAAATGTGAGGGGAAGAGGTCTTCTTTACTGAGATGATGCATAGTTCTCAAACCACAATTTTGGTTTGTTTCAGTAAACCAGATATCTTTTAATAAATCCTGCAGATACATGCAAAGTAACGAAATTTTCTTTACTGCAAACATAACTGGGCAGTTTTATACTATGATTAAGAGTTGCAGACAGAGATTTTTAAAAGATGTGGCACATCTGCAAATAAATAAAATTTTGCCCTTAATTTCAGTAGTGAAATTATTCTTTGGTTCGAGAAACAGATATCCCAAGAATTCCACAGGCTTCTATTTACTGCTGCCATATCGTAACAATACCAACAACATTAAATCCAACAGAAATGACAGCTTCGATAACATTGACAACAATTTGTTTCAGCTGGCATCCTGTTACCTGTCCAGTTATCTCATGGACAACCACTTGCTTCCATTTCAGCTTCAGACCTCTTAGTAAAATAACTAAATAGTGATTCCTGCATCCTTTTGATTTCCAATGTACATTTACCATAAATTTACATTTTGAAATATCAAAATCAGGATTGCCAGAAATCTCCATTTCATCCAATGATAAAATACAGTCTTTATCACTAGCATTCATTTTTTCTCCTTAATTTTCAAAATTCATCATGTCACTGATGACTCCAAAATTCATTTCAAGACCTGAAGTCTTTTATTTAAAGTGCTGTATGATGGCACAGGAAAACCTATTCTGTCAAGTAATTATAACCATGCTTGCCCAGGCAAATCAACTTTGAGGCCTTTTATTATTCCCTCGTTAGACCATTTTGCAATGCTTCTACGAGGAATTTTCACATTGCATTTGTTCATCTGAATGAAATGTTTTCACTCCCTTTCAGCATCCTCATGCTGTACTTGAAGGTCATGAAGTTGAATTCAGTGCTAGCCATTTTTTTAAACAATAATTTTTTTTTTTTTTTTTTTTGTTGTGTAAGTTCTTTCAGTAATATTTTTCTGGCATGCAGAAGCGAGATCAATTCAGTCTGCTTTTTAAATTTTAAAAGAACATCCTGGATAAGAAAAAATCTATATAATAATCATCAAGAAGGGGGAAACAACAAAAAAGATCTGAAAGGTTTCAGATTTTAAATTACGTCCAAAGGGCCTTTTTTTAACATTTTGTGTGTTACCTTTATTTATTAAATATCATATTTTTCGCACTTAAACCATAAAATTCAGTTCAAGAGCAAGTATCGCAAAATAATTTTAAAATGAGCATATTTAGAATTTCCGATTCACAGTCTCACGCGCTGGAGATAAAAAGTGTTTTTCTGTACAACATTGCCATTGCTCGCTTTGAAATTCTGAGTTTGTTAATCAAAAATTCGTTAAAGTTTTACAACATATAAATCGATAATAAAACAAATTCCAAATTTCAAATTTCGGGCTTCCAGATGCCCATATTCGCAGTAGGAATTACGTCATTCAAAATTCGATGGCTCTAGGTACCGTTGTTTTATCAGAATGCGAAAACATACATGCATTTATGCAGATTCTTCATATTAATTTCTTTAAATATAGTACAGGGTGATAATATTTGGTGGCAACAATTTGAAAAGTGATGCAACCGTTATAGTGTTCAATACAAAACGAAAACATAGTCCTTCAGGGACAAAGCCCCTTTGGATTAAATGCCAAACTTAAACAGATAATAAATCCACAAAATAAAAATGAAACTTCCAGGTCTCTTTCCCTATACTGTGGTGGGTTTTTAAATTTGACTCTATTGTTTTCAGCATTTTCTAGATTATTTTTGTTTTATTTTCTAATATTTAAAATTTATTTCACTTAAAAATAGATTTTTAAAATTTATTTCCAGCTTTTCAAGGGATCGATTATCTCCTGTAACAGCTTTAATATCGTTATTAATCTCTCGTGCATTTGAAATAGATAAATAATAAATAATGTACAGATTACTGGCAATATTGAAATGCAGGCTCAAGAGCTGCATGCATTTTCTCGCACGAAGCATGTAATTTTTTTTTTTTAAATAAGTTTATAGAATGTTTTCTCTTCTTGTTTGTATGTCGCCATTTTTTTTAGTGTTAAATAAAAGTTATTGCTGTGTTCCATCATTGGAGTTGCTTCATTTCGCCAAAGAAGTATCACAGTCTTAATTATTTTGGAGGCACCGACCGAGATCGAATAATCGTGCATATTTTTATTTCATTAGTTCATCACTGAACATAATATAGTGATACCAGATTATTACTTCCTGTTAATATTGAATTGCTTTATTTTATTAGTTCATCACTGAACGCAATATTAGCGATACCAGGTTATTACTTCCTGTTGATATTGAATTGCCTTATTTTATTAGTTCATCACTGAACGTAATATTAGTGATACCAGATTATTACTCTCTGTTGATATTAAATTGCCTTATTTTATTAGTTCATCACTGAACGTAACTTCCTGTTGATATTGAATTGTCTTATTTTATTAGTTCATCACTGAACATAATATTAGTGATATCAGGTTATTACTTCCTGTTAATATTGAATTGCCTTATTTTATTAGTTCATCACTGAACGTAATTAGTGATATCAGGTTATTACTTCCTGTTAACACTGAACTGCCTTATTTTAATCGTTTATCACTTGAACGTAAACTTAGTGATACCATTTTAATGCCGTTTCTACTAGAGCTCAAAGGAAAAGAAAAATAGCTGAAGAGCAGATCTTGGAACCGATGAAGGAAGAAAATAAAGCATCCAGAGATGTATTTGAAAAAAAAGTTAAATCACCAGAATTAAACGTGGAAGATGTTCATGAAAATTTGAAAAACGATAAAGAAATTAATATTGAGAATCATTTTGCAATGCAGCGTTATCATCATCTTTCGGCTTTTGATTTAATATCAAAGCCGATACTAACACACGAAGAAAACAATTGTCGAAAGCAAATGACAAATGAATATTATTCGAAAGGCACAGATGAACTAAGGAAAGGCTTTGCTGTGAATTATAGCCAAGGAACTGGTCTACTATGGAAGAGATCTAGGCGCCGTCAAGAAAAAAAAGGAAGACTAATTTGAACACTGTCCATTTTCTTCTTATTTAAATGTGGTGTAAAAATATTTGTTTAAAACTTAAATTTGGAAATTTATAAGAGAAATTACCTTTTCTCTTTAAGCATTTGAGCAAGCCGAGCTTATTAAACTGTCAAATTTTACAGAACTTTTCCCTTCGGAAAAAGTCTCTCCGTTGGGGGAGAGGTTGTAACAGCTTTAATATCGTTATTAATCTCTTGTGCATTTGAAATAGATAAATAATAAATAATGTACAGATTACTGGCAATATTGAAATGCAGGCTCGAGAGCTGCATGCATTTTCTCGCACGAAGCATGTAATTATTTTTTTTTTAAATAAGTTTATAGAATATGTTTTCTCTTCTTGTTTGTATGTCGCCATTTTTTTTTTTTTTTTTTTTGTGTTAAATAAAAGTTATTGCTGTGTTCCATCATTGGAGTTGCTTCATTTCGCCAAAGAAGCATTACACTCCATAATCATGAGCAATTTAATAACACAAATTATCAACTTATATCACAGCCTTCACAAATGCTGATGAAATTAATTAAAATTAATTACAATTTGGTTGCAAGATGAGACTAAAGGTTGTTTTTGCAAACAAAACTGAAATTTACATAGAGAATTTGCAACTATTGATGAAATTAATTACATTCCTTTTACCAAAAAATTACTTTATAGAACATTTTAAATGTATATAAGGAAGCAATTTAATTATACATTAGTTATCAAACTTACATCAGAGCCTTTCACAAATAGATGGTATTTCATTGCAAAATGAGGCTAAAGGCTGTTCTTGCAAACAAACCTGAAATGTACACAAAGAATTTGTAAATGCTGATGAAATTAATTACATTCCTTTTACCCCCCCCAAAAAAAAGTTTATAGAAACGTTTTGTATAAGCAAGCAATTTAATAATACACTAATTATCTACTTACATGAGATCCTTCACAAATAGATGGCATTTTATCACAAGATGAAGTTGAAGCTTGTTCTTGCAAACAAACCTGAAATATATATAAGAAATTTAGAAATACAGATAATATATAAACTACATTCATTTTAAGAAATAATTATTTTACATAACATTTATAATTCATAAATAGATAATAAATTGTTAACACTCAAAATTCAAAAATAATTCCATAGCACAACAGCCAGATATAGTACAGCTGTTTAGGAACCATAAGACAAACAATTTCATATTTCAGAAATCGTATAAAAATTCATCAATATATGTAAAACATATGACATTTAATAGCTGCTCAAATGATCACATAGCATAGATTCTTTACTAGCAGCTGTTATTTAATCAGAAGGTAATGCTAAATGTTGTTGCAAACACACCTGAGATGTACTGTAATGTACACATTTGCAACCACTGGTGAAATGAAACAAAGTGCATGATTATGAAGATGGAAACATTTAAAGAAACATAGTACAGTTTACGAATAGATGTTAAAAAACTATTAAAATTTTTTAGAAGTGCAAAATGGCAATTTACATCAAATACTTCGGCAGCAAAATTTATTTCTCCAAAATATGAAGCTGAAGGTTGTTGGCAAATGAATCTAAAAGAAATTATAATATATGAAATATGTGGAAGTGAAAGAAATTATAAACTCTGATCGGATAAAAATAAATACAAATAATCATTACCATTTTCAAAAGTAAGTCAACTTATAAAAAAGCATAAATACATTGGACTGTTCATAGCATTCATACTTCTTAAACATAAGTAAATATTACGTTAACATATTTTTAAATTTTAGAAACAGCGTTAATACTTTTTAGAAAAAGTTTATAATACTAAATATTTAATAACTGTTCAAATGAAGACTTACAACAGATGGTTCAGCAACAGAAATCGCTTCAGTTAATAAAGGTAAACTGTGCAGCAAGCCACCCTGAAGATGCAAAAATTATGAAACACATATAAGTAAGGATACCTGAAAATGCTGATAAATAAAATATACTTAATGTAATTTTAATAATAAATAATATAAATAATCCTAATAAGTTTTGTAAATCTTTAAACAAAAAATAACAACATTCAGACAAGACATATAAGACATTAAAATATACATTTAAATCAATGTATTATAACTATATTATTGTATTACTCAAGATTAAAGTTATTAATTTCAATATTATTTCTTTTACTTATACATATTTCTCTCTATTTATCTGGAATACATATTTCTCTCTATTTATCTGGAATTTAAAATTAAGCAAAAAAGCAACTTTAGTTTAATACAAATTTTGATTTAAACTCTTTTGACTTTGAAGGCAATCAGATACAGGTTTCTTTCTTTTAGGAGCAAACTTGAAGAAACCAGACCCATGTATGACTGTCCTTGAAAAACTACAAAAACTTTATCCAAAAACTACATCAAATTGAGGTTTTATGCCTAATTTTCAATATATGATTATAATAACAAAGTACATACTTAATTATATATATAACAACAGCAAAATTTTAATTTTTTAATCTAATCTTAGGGACTGTAATTACAGCTTTATCACATAATGCCTTAATTTCAGTATTTTGATTCTTTTATAAAGCAACTTAGTCCATTTTTAATAAAAACATATTTTTTTATGAAAACTATAAAAATAAAAAACACATATATTACAAAATTGGATGTAACTGAACGGTGCTTTGGTAAACCAATGCCTTTTAGACGCTGTGGGGTCAACAGTTGTGGGGGATTAGGCACATTGAAAAGAGTTGGCACAGCATTGGGCTTGAGTTTTTTACGCCCATCTTGCCTAGAGCATTCAAATTGATTTTCTTCAAAATGTACCTGCATATTTAACACAAGCATGCATGAAATTTAACATTAAAATCAAAAGCACTAGTATTTAATTACAGTTACATATATTATATTAATTTAAGAATGTAATTTTCTGATAAATTTAATTTTTTTTATGAAAATAAAACAAAATTTTTAAAAAGTAATCATGTTTGTAAAACTACTTAAAACATATTTCCTGCTCACACACTAAAAATAAATTTAAAGGACCTATAGTTAAAAATACATTAAGATTTACTACTACAATAAAGGATAATAATGGGATCAAAACGATTCATCGAATATTTAAATTAATATTTAACTTCTTAAAAATGTCTAAAAATACAGAATATATTTACCTTACTATAAAGAAAAAACAAAATCATTTATTATTTGGATCATACCATCCAGTTTTTAACATTGGCGACAATACATCAGAATCAAAACATAGAATGCTACTTTAAATCAACCAATCGGTACAGTAAAATTAAAGAAAAGAAAAAGGCACATCACATTTCTAACTGAGCACAAAGTTTACATGAAATGTATGATACAAATTTTACAAACGGTATAAACTTTTCACGATAACAAAAAAACAATCATAAACAGTATTGCCGATATTTTACTGCACAAACACATACACATTCCGCAGTTGATTTTGTACTTATAAAATCAGTTGATCGTCAATAAGTGACAGTTAAATGAAAATACATATTTTGAAGTACCAAGAAGAGTAATTTTTCTAACATTCTATGGAAAAATACGAAGCTGAACTTACCTCACAAAGATACGCTCCTGGGCCCGGGATCCATTGATCTCGACGAGAATTAACTATCCATTTTCTTCGTCTTTCTTCATTTCTGGGAAACGAAACATCCTAAAGTTATTTTGGACTGATTCGAACAATTTGGGCAGCACAACCACCCATATTTCAAAATTTCGGAATCGATCCACAAATATGAAAAATCAGTGCAATCATGCGTAACAAGGGAGGTTAGAATAGATGGAGTAAGCCTTCCCCGTATGTTCCCATGCAATGAAAATGAAGCCATGATACGTCACGATGCGTGACGTCACGACTGATATGTGTGAGTCGTCAGCCATGTTTTTGCGACCCTTTAGGGTTGCAATTTCGGTTGGGGGCCAATCTTTGGCTCTTTAGCCGTATTAGTTAAAACTTTAATTATTTAACATTTTAGAGGACCTTTTAGAGAATCTTAAGTTCCGATTTTTCGCACTCATATAGAGATGTGTGACTTCTCTCTCGTAGTTTTTTAAAATGACGAATTTCTCATATGATTCATGATGCGTTTTTAAAACATTTTCACATATACTTCAAATTCATATATAAGTTACAAAAACTTTTTTGTCAACTTACTTCTGAATTTTCAGTTTATACTTTTACATACATGCATAATGTTAGACAACTCAAAATGTACTTTTTGACAAGAGATTTCCCGCAGCTGTATTCTTAATTTCCATGAGGTTATAATGGGTTTGAAATCACGTTTTCATATTTATGTAACTACTTTTCTTTTATAATTCAAGGTAGTTTCATGTATTATATAAAAATTATAAGCCTTTCAATACAGTACTTGTATGATAATTCTTAATATCTTAACTATACCATTTCAGTACTGATGGAGTTAAGCATATTACTTTTATTTACATTACATGTTAAATTATTTAGAGAACATTAAAGCTGTGGCTACAAATTTGTATGAAGAAAACTTCAGTAATTTTTAAGTTTCTAAAGCTTTTCTGAATCAAAAGTTACTTTTCTAAAATTGTAAGCAAATTTTATATGATAAGTGGATAAATACATGCTGATGCTTTAATATATCTAGCAAGTTCGCATTTTAAACTTCTGAAAAATTTAATAGCTTGTCTGCATAATAATTCTTGTTTTTCATTTTTAATCTACTTCTTGTTTATCATTTTTAATATGCAGTTTGAAGTTTGCTCACATGGAATCGAATGTCTATTATTGCAACAATTTGGTTAAAAATGTTATTTTGTGTGCATATCCAGAAAAAGGTAGCTAAAAGCTTTATGATTTTAAATACTGATTTGAGATATACACCTTTAAATTTTGATGTTTTAGCAGAATGCTATAAAAACTATTTCAATGCTCTAATGGCTGTGGGAATCTATATTTTAAAAAATATATTTTTATATAAATTTAGCAATGTAAAAATTCCATATCAAAAATACTATTTTGTTCTTTATTTAGCTAAAAAGAAAATTTTAAAAATAAATACATAAATAAATAAAAAATAAAAAGAATACCTTTCCACACAAAATTTAGACACTATTTACCGATACATTTGCTATTGAGAAAATACTTTATACAGTACATAGAAAAACTGGTAAATTTATGAATTAAACAAGGGAAAAAACATACATAAAATTTAAAATTTTAATTTTATATTTGCTTTATATGAGTAGAGAATTTTATATTTGCTTTATAGAAATAGTGAATATTTGTTAAATTCAAATTTCATTCCTTGAAGCAATGGCACAAGAAAATTATTAAAATTAATTTAATTTTACTATTTTCTCGTGAAACAATGTTGTTAATATATTATTACACATATCTGAATATTTAATGATAATTCAGTACTCTTCTGTTATCGGGATGGAAATCAAAAATGTATGTATACACACATACATATGCATGGTTCATATATACATACATTCAATATACATCCATATAGAGATTTCTGAATCCGGTCCCGATAACAGAAGAGTACCAATAATTCTATAATTAGTTAATATCCTTATTAATTAATTTGCATAAGTAAAAACAAAAGTATTATTTAGCTTTAAATCTACATCTTTTGATAACAAACATATGCAAAATACTTGTACTTATAGTGAAAATAAAACAAAAATTGTTATTTTTCACTCTTTTTTTTCTAACACAGTGCAAGTCATTCCATTATAATCAAATTTTATTAAAACACAGTAACTGGATTTTTTCCATTAAAGTCAACACCTTTATATAGAATATACATAAAGTCAACAGCTTTGTATAGAATGATATAATGCTAGACCTACTTTAACCTGAAATTTTATTTATATGAATTTATGGGGAAATGCCAGAATAAATGCAAAAAAAAAACCATCTGAATAAATCTTAGCCGACACTGTTATGATAGTATTTTTGTTTTCAATAAAATGTTTTTAAGGTATACCATTTTAGTTCAGTTTTCCCCCCTATTAAAGGAGCTACCCTAAGAGACATATTTTATTTACATATATCTCATTAATATGTTAAAAATATAGCTTAAGTGAGTTTTATGTGCATACTGTAAGGAAGGGGAAAGCCTTAATTCAAAACCTGTTTTTAAAGCAGTAAGTAAATAAATAAAATACATTGCTTTTATTAGCATCTCAAAAAATAGTGTTTTGGCTTCTAAAAACAAATCCTAAGCATCACATCATGATAGATAATAATCTTACGTAAGAAGAAATATCTGATTAGGAATACATTCTTTATATTTATTTGATAAGATCAAAACATATATGCAACATCACATTATGAAAAATCCTGCGAATCATTACAACACTGTAAGACATTGATTAGTAAGGTAAACATCAGTTGATCATTCTTTCACAGTAGCAATAAATTTTTCATTCAAATTCTTAAAAATATGCCAAAACAAATTTACGATTGGTGCTTAAGATTTAAGGTCACACAAAAGTAAATTTGATTTAGCAGAGCTTGATATCTTCCATAACATAAAAGTAACTGCTACATGATGGAAGTTTTTGTGAACAAAATACAAACATTTTATAAATACTTAACCTTAATGACTAACTTCAAATTAATCCAATAATGATGGAAACAATAATGTAATTGAGTACTGCAAATTTACTTTGTATGATATTTCTATGTAAAATCTGAAATTTATAATAGGTGAAGGACTTTACATTATTTAAACAATGAAGCCCCACTTCTGAAAGCGAGGACTTAGACAAGACATATAGGACATTAAAACATACATTACCATATTATTATATTACTCAAAATTATTACTTTCAATAATACTGTTCTTTTGCTTACTTAATGCATATTCCTATATATATGTAAAATTTAAAATTAAGCAAAAAAGTTATTTTAGTTTAATCCTGATTTTGAACAAACCTCTGTAGACTTTGAAGGCAATCAAATACAGGTTTCTCTTTTTTAGGGGCAAATCTGAAGAAATGAGACCTGTGTCTGATAGGCCTCGAAATCAGTAATTTTAATCAAAAACTATATCAAATTGAGGTTGCTTTTATGCCTCATTTTAAATATGATTATTATAATAAAATACACATTTAATTATATATATATAACAGCAAAATTTAAACAGTATTATGAATTATTATCTATTAAAAATTTCAATTTTTAATCTATTCTTAAGCACTGAAATTAAAGCTTAATCATATAATGCCTGAATTTCAATATTTTGATTTATTTATAAAACAAATTAGTCCATTTTTAATATGAAACACATTTTTTATGAAAACTATAAAACTTAAAAAAACATACATTTTAAAAACTGGATATCATTGAATGGTAGTTTGGTAAACCCAATGCCTTTTACATGCTGTGGGGTCAACAGTTGTGTTGGATTAGGCACATTAAACAAGGCTTTAGTTTTTTAAACCCATCTTTCCTAGAAACAAAGTTTTCTTCAAAATGCACCTTCAAATTTAACAAAAGCATGTATGAAGTTTAACATTAAAATCAAAAACACTAGTATTTAATTACAGTTGCATGTACTAAATGAATTTAATCACACTATTAAGAATGAAATTTTGTGAAAAATTTTAACTTTTATATGAAAATAGGACAAAATTAAGAATAAATAATTAAGTTTATGAAGCTTCCTGAAGGACACAGAATATATTTACCTCACTATACAGAATAACCTAAACAATTTATAATTTATGTTATACTTACCAATTTTTAAGACTGGCGCCAACTGATATATTTGGCGACAATACATCAGAATCAAAATACAGCATAGACCTTTAATACACTATTCGTACAGTAAAATTTAAATAAAAAAACGCCTATTACAATCCCAACCGAGACAAAGTTTACATGAAATATAGAATACAATTTTACAAACAGTATAAACTATTAGCAACAGTAAAAAACAGTATTGGCGATATTTTGCTGCACAAATGCACACACATTCCACAATTGATTTTATATTTGTAAAATCATTTCAGCGTCAATAAGTGACAGCTAAATGAAAGTACACATTTTGAAAAAAAATAATAAGGGAATTTTTCTCATATGCTATGAAAAAATACGAAGCTGCACTTACTTCACAAAAACACGCTCCTGCGACCGAAATCCATTGATCTCGACCAGAAAGAATTACTTCTTCTTCGTCTTTTTTCATTTTTTGCTAAACAAAACATCCTAAAGTTATTTCTAGAATGATTTGACAATTTGGTGCAGCACATCTATCCATATTTCTCAAAATCAGGTCGAAACGATCAACAAAGCAATGCTGAACTAATAGCGAGTAGCAATAAAGTCAGAATAATAGAAATACTAAAATACCTGTTTATGGCATTTACTTATGAAATTAGCTGCGTAGCTGCGGGAATGATTGACATCCTTCACTACATTCACCAATTTTATCTGGCTGAGCAGTTTTAATACAATTATAAACAAAGCTTTCGTCTTATCCGTACGCTACAAGCTGGCTGATCAGTCGTGACGTCACGCTGTCGATCCTTCCTCGGCTTCAATTTTGTGACGTCATGTGAACTGTCCTGATTTCCGTTTAAGTTTATGAGCTGAGACATTTCTAGTAAAAATTAATTTTAAATATATATATTTAAAATAATTTATATATATGTAATTTTAGTCAGTTTTTATTTTAAATTCTATATTGTAAAGTATCGTTTACGTAATATGGCTTTTTGCGCTCAGTAACGTGCCGTAGCACTTACAGAAGTATGAAAGGATGAGATATTTTATTTCATGGGACCAAAGGATCCAAATGAGAGTTTGCTTTTGACGAAAGAATGGATACACAAATGTCAAAGAGAAGATTCTATTAATGTGAAGAGCGGAAAATCTGCAGCGAACATTTTCTATGCAGTGTTTTTATGAAGATGATATGAAAAATCGCTTGTTTGGATAGCCACAAAAAAGAACTGTTGAAATGGAATGCTGTGCCGAAAGTAAATTATGATGACAATAATAATCGAAATTGATGATGACAATAATAAATCAAATTTTAATGATTTTGAAATAAAACTCACAAATGAAAATGTAGATCATCCTGAATGTTTAAGGATAAACAAGAATGCATTGATAATTTGAAGAACAAAATAATATCCTTAGAAAATTGTATTAAAGTATTGAAAAATAGAAAAAGAAAATTTTAGAATGTTTGTTCAGCGACAAAGAAGGTGGACGACATCTAGACAGAAATTGGTATCAGAAATTAAAATCTCAAATAGCGAAATTTGGGGGGGGGGAGCACAAATCGGAGAATTTGGAAAAATGTCTAAAGCCTATTTTTATAAAGACGCAGATTAATGCATTACTGAAAAAGAAGAAAAAAATCAGGTGGACTAGTGAAAATATTTCATGTTGCATTGTCATAAGAGCTCTGTCATCTTAAAGCTATGATTTTTGGAAAGGAAAAAAATTGGAATATCTTTACCTAGTATTATCAAATTAAAGAAATGGTGTTTATTTTATTTTTTAGTGTTTTCTAAATTTTAGTGTAGTCCAAGAATTCAAAGTAATGTTCTTACTCTAAAGAAGGAAAGAGGCGAATATTTGTATTCTGTAGAAAAAATATGCGTTCTCAGTTTCGACGAAATGCATATAGATTGAAAGCTCTGCTATGACTCTAAACTGGACTAAGTTGGTTCTTTTCAAAATGTGCAGTTTGTTTTAATCAGAGGTCTCATTTCGCGCTCTGCCTCAAATTACTGAGAAACCCGCGTTTTAGATAGAGATATTTGTTTTAGAAGATGTAACTGTTTTAAATTTTGATATTATTAAAGAGGTTTTAAATAGAGATTGAGAAGAAATCAAATTGTGTCACAAACTAAAACCAAATTATTTAATGGTCAAGGGAAACGAGAGACAAAAAGTCGCTCCAGAGAAAACATTATTTTCAAAAAGTACCGCAAAAGGTATACTCCTACCCCACAGGAAATCAAGAAAGCATCTGACTTCTATGAGTTAATCGATAATATCTTCGGTATTATGAATAGCACCAAAATAGTACCAACACGAATAACAAGTATTTACAAACTAATTTTGTTAAGTACTTGTTAAAGTTATTCTTATTGTATCCTTTGTAACTAATTATTGATTAGATTTTGTGCTAAGATTAGCATTCTAGCAGATAAAATATAATAGTATAAAACATCAAAGTAATTGGCATAAAAAGACCTGCTTCCTTTACTCACACTTTTGAAAAATTAAATAACTGTTTTAGGTACTCTGAATAAAGCTATTTTGTCAAAATTAAGGTAACAATCTTATATACATTTATTTAATTGTAATATAGATATAAGTATAAATTACAAAATTATTTAAAAAATATCTATTATTGAATCGGAAGAGAATTATAACAATGTAAAATTTACAATTAGGCAAAAAATCAAACGTAGGTTAGCAGAAATTTGCCATATATGTCATATATGTTTAAACCTATGTCAATGTAAAGTTGTTTTTGAGTAAATTTAAATAGCTGCTCTATTATAGTTATCTTAGAAGCAGCATAAAAATTCTCTCAGTTAGCATGCAAATAAAGAAATGGTTAGAAATAAACGTGCATTAAATAAAAAAAAAAAAACCTGCAAATAAAATAAAAAAAAAAAAAAATCACGGAACTTTTGTGTTAAAAGAGTAGCACATTTTATCTATTATTTTTAAATTGAGTAAGCATTATTAAATTTTTTAATGGTTCAGTCTAAATGCATAAAGCAGTAACATTGCCTCTTCCAAATTATAGCTATCTTTCACACACAGCTCATTTTAAACGCTGATTCAAAAACGCTAATTTCGAAGCTGTGAATTATATTGGTGCGCTCAGTGTCATCATGGCTACGTCATCACTTCTCACTTTCTGCTTCAAGGGGAAAAGCTCTATGAGCTAGCTCATCAACAAAAATCTCTGGTATGCTTTTTAGCAGCGGTGATTTTTTAAAGTACTTGTTTGCTCTTAAATTAAATAATATCATGGGTTAATTTATACGATAAAAAATTCTCGTAAGTCGGTAGGCACTGAAGAAACAATGATAAAAAATATAAAAATGACAAAACCTTTATTCGTTGATAAACAATTTATATTCTTGAATTCCAGAACAACAATTTATGTTCCAGAATTTTAAGAATTGTTAATATTAGTAGTTGGTTTTAAAATAATGATAATAATAAACCATAAAACCAATATACACCCAATTGTCGTAAAACTTTGTCATCATGCTATGTAAATGAAGTTATTAGCACCAGAGGTGGTATTAGTCTTAAATCTCAATTTGTTTTTTGTATCATTTTTCAAATGTTTCTACCAAATGTTATCGCCATGTGTAATACTTAAAGAAATAACATAACGAATATTAAAAAATATATAACAAAATAAAAGGATTTAGCCACCGTATCTTCTTGCCATGTGTTATTTTAAAAGGAATAACACAGTGATTATAAAAACAAAAATGTATGGCAAAACTTAACACTATGCAGGGAATTCTAAAGATGGGCTTATTTTAAAATTTTTCAGTTGAATTTTAAGTGGCGCAAGTGCGAAGCAAGTGGTGTTTAATAAATAAAGTTAGTACACAAAACGTTATTAATAAATAGATAAATAAAATTGTTTGAAGTAATCTTATTAAGAAAACTGAACATCGATATGATTAACTGAGGAAAGACTGAAAAAAGAAATTAAAATTTGAAATGTTTCAGATTTTAACGATTGCCGAAAACGGCTCTTTTTAAAGTTAATATGGTTTATCAGTAGGGATAATTGATAAAGATGGCCCAATGGAATAACGAAACATTTTATAGGATATTAGATGAATATGCGTTTAGACTAACATGTGAACGTTATACATCTTCTGTACATTTAAAAAGTGAAAAAATGTGCAATGCAATTCTGTAAACACATTTAATGTTTTTATTTAGATATATCATGAATTAAATGCCCTTTCTTATTTAAATCGATCAGATTAAAAAGTAAAAAAAAATATTCTTAAGAACTATATCTATTGCTTTTAAATAGCTTAGTTTGTTAATTACTAACAAACCAGATATATAGCAATACAATATCTTATTCTTACCATATCTATGTAATAGATTCTTATGATTATGTAATATGATAAGTAAGAAAGAATAGCATCTTATGTTTTTCCGAATCTCAACAGATTCGAATGAAAAATTGAAAAATGAAACAAAGTAAAACTATGTTTCGAGACTTAATAGGGCTGAAATAAAATAATACCTTTTGGGCTGAAAAAAATAATGGAGGCTCTCAATACTATATCGGGAATGCTAAAAACTCTTCTTTTAAAAATTCTGTGATTTTACTGTTGAACTGCATGTGATATAATTGTGAAGAAAGTGAGTTTAATAATCAAGTTGAAAAGACAAAAAAGTTGTGTATGTCATCTGATTAAGAACGCTGAATATTGATATTGAAATCTGAGGAAAAACTGAAAAAATAGTAAAAATATTTGGCAATACTTAACACTCTGTAAGCAATTCTAAAAATATGCTAATTTAAAATATTTCGTGAGTTTATCGTGGAAATTTTATGTTGCAGAAGTGCAAAAAAAGGTAGTATATGTATATAGAGAGAAGATATATTAATAGAATATAGAATACATACAAATCTATAATTATATTCCGATCTTGAAGAAATTTTGCACATTTAACCTTCAAAGCGAGATGAAAGTCATTGTCTACGCAAGATTCCGAAAAACCACCTTACGGGGTATACGCTCTGTATACAGATTTGCTCAGAAGTAATGAATTTTTGTTTAAAATCTCAACAGTTTAAAAGAAATGTGTTGCCACTGGCCAAATTAAAATATTTTTATCTTCCACGTGGAAGTGCGTTGTAGTTCCGCAAAGCGTAAAATATTTAATGTCTCTTTCAAATTTATTCTGTTAATAATTAAAACTAAGTGATTTAAAAGAGCAATTAATGCAAATTGATTTCAATTATTATTTATTACTTGCTGGTCTCATGAAACTACACTGGCTGGATTCATTAAAATCATCTATATACTATATATAAAGAGGAGAGTTTGTTTGCTATCGTGTGTGTCATTCATACAAATCTACAGTTTTATTTCGACATTGATGAAATTTTGCACACTGGACCTTCAAAATAAGAGGAAGGTCACTGTCTCCACAAGAATTCGACAAAACACCCCGTGAGGGGCCCACCCTCAAGGCGATGCGCTCACATCATCCACCTTGCGTACACATTATCCATTTTACACTCATGTCCATAAATTAAGGATAATGCAAAATCAGGCAAAGAAAGAGTTAGAAGCAAAACAAATTTGACTTATTTGTAAACCTTATTTATTAAACAAAAGGTAAAGAGCAAAAAAAGATGCTATATGTTTGA